TTATTTTACAAGATGAAAAGAGATCTGGAGATGAATGGTGGTGACAGATGCACAATATGAATGTACTTAATACAACTAAATTGTGCACTTAGAGATGGTTAAATTTTAACCATCTTAATGGTCATTTGTTTTTACCAGAATTTTAATTTAAAAAATAAAGCATAAACAAATTGTGGGCAATTCATACAATAGAGCACTACTCAGTAGTAAAAAGAATGAACTATTCACACACACAGCGTGGTTAATTCTGAAGATACTTATGCTATATAAGAAAAAATAGACCAAAAATAGAGTATAAATACTTTATGATTCCAATTGTATAAAATTCTAGGAAACACAAACAAATCTATAGTGGAAAAATAAAAGGTAATTCAATAGATTCCTTGGGATGTGGCTGTTTCCTGGGTAAGGCAAAGAGGAATAATAAAGGAGCACGAGGTAGCTTTGTGGGTGATGGATAAGTTCATTATCATGATGATAGTGTTGGTTCCCTGAGTATATACATATTTAAAACCTTGTCAAATTGTACACCTCAAATAGTATGTACAGTCAATTATTGCCTCACAGTTTTATCTCAACAAAATATCACAAGAAATTGTTGGCTGGCCGCGTGGCTCAGTTGGTTAACAGTGTGAGCTCTGAGCAACAGGGTCGCCAGTTCAATTCCCACATGGGCCAGTGAGCTGCGCCCGAGCTGAGCTGCTGCTGAGCTGCCAACAGGTGGCAGGATGGCTCAGTTGGTGAGAGCACGTGCTCCTAACAACGTTTCCAGTTCAACTCCTGCATGGGATGGTGGGCTATGCCTACCCGCAACTAAGACTGAACACGGCACCTTGAGCTGAGCTGCCCTGAGCTGCCAACTGGGTGGCCAGATAGATCAGTGGTTAGAGTGTGTGCTCTTAGCAACAAGGTTTCCGGTTTGACTCCCACATGGGATGGTGGGCTATGCGCACTTGCAACTAAGATTGAACACAGCACCTTGAGCTGAGCGGCCGTGAACTGCCAATGGGCAGCTGGATGGTGACTGAACTTGGAGCTAAGCTAGCTGTGCCCTCCACAACTAAGATTGAAGGACAACAACTTGGCTGTTCCCCTTCCCCAATAAAATCTTAAAAAAAAAAAAAAGTAATTGTTGCACGTAAAAATCTGATCTCCATTCATTTAGAAAACTGGAAGATTTGGCAACCCTCTATTGATGCTTATCTCTCCTTGCCATGGCAGCAAAAATGGCTATGTCACAAATGCTACATCCCTGGGGTACAGGATCTCCCTCCACTTAGTCCCCATTTTTCTGTCAATGCAGCAATGGTCTTGCGATGAACAGTACAGTGAACCTGCAGTAATCCAAAAAACCTTTAGATTCTTTGCTCTGCCAATGACCTTACTCATAGGACAGAGGTCTAGAGTTCTTGAGAATTTCTGCAAAGCCTGAATCCTGCATAGTCAGATTCAAGGGAACATTCTGGATGCACTTTTAGAACAGGTACATTCCCTCTAGTTTGCTGCAGTCTCACCGGCTCCCTGTTATCAATCCGCCCCCCCTCACACACACACACACCCGCCAGGGTTTCTGTACAAATTATGGTCCCAACTGGGCCCAGTAAGTCTTAAGTTAGAGACACCTGTATACCAGATGTTAGACTTCAAGGTATATGGCTCCTGGGCAGGTGCCAGGTAAACAGTGTCTACTCAACAGTGCTAAGGAATGTGAGGCATCCCCTGGAAACAAGGGGCCTAATTCATGCTGCTCTCAGGTGCACTGGAGTTTGTCACAAATGTCCCTTCCTCAGGGTAATCTCTAGTCCACAAAAATTCATGCCATTCAGACCACATTAGCCTCCTCAAAGCCATAAATTTTTTCCTAGGAGGCCCTGAGTAGCAATGCAAATGAGGCCAAATCTGGACTGAGAGCTGTTCTCTGCCATCCTGCTGTTCCCTCTGATGCAATAAATTTGGAGACCCTGTTAATCTGGTAGACCTTAATTCTGTACTCAACCCACCCATTCCACACAGTGATCAGAACACAAAAGATTAAAGGTGGCTGTATCAATAAGACCCTTATTATCACCCAAACCAGAGCTGTGTAAAGTAGGTAGTTGTTGGGATGGGTACTGTGGTGGTTGGATAAATTCATCATGAGCATCATATGAGATCAACATTGTCCTTGAAAAAGGGAAACCTTCTCAGCAAGTTGCCAGTAGAACCCAGCTCAGGTCTTCATGGCCTAAGATGGGTCATGTGCTCAGCTAAACCAGTAACAACAGGAGCGAATGAGGGACTCTAATGGCCACAGGCTATTCACAATTCCCTTAGAGAGAACAGAGGTTTTCCATCCCTGTGCACAGGCCGTTATTGATACACACTCTGGAGACCTGCCATTGAGTTGGCAGTAGAGTTGAGATGGCTTCTGCCACAAACACTAGTAGTGACAAAACTCTGGGAAAGTCCATGGTCAGAAAATGCAACTTAGCTCTAGAAAGCTTCCAACATGCCTAGCATTCATAGGGAATCTCCCCAGTGTGGATATTTGGATGAACAGGGTTCAACTTCTGGCTGATGGCTCCCTCATAAAGACTACTCTCAGAGTTTATCNTGTAGAAAACCCTCAAGAATCCACAAAATTACTGTTAAAGTCAATGAATTCAAAGTAGGATACAAAACCAACACAGAAAAAATCAGTTGCATTTCTATACACTAACAACAAAGAATCTGAGTACAAAATTATGAAAACAATTCCTTTTACAGTAGCATCAATAAGAATAAAACACTTAGGAATTAACTTAATCAAGGAGGTAAACACTTGTAGTATAAAAACAAAACATTTCTGAAAGAAATGAAGACATAAATAAATGGAAATACATCCAATGTTCATGAGTTGGATGACTAAATACTGTTAAGATGTTGAATCTTACAGATTTCTACAGATTTCATGGAATCTACAGATTTCATGAAATCTCTATAAAAATCCCAATAACTGTTTTGCAGAAACAGAAAAATATACTCTAAAATCCATATGGTATCTCAAGGGATCTTTAACAGCTAAAACAATCTTGAAAAAGAAGATCAATGTTGGAGGACTCACACTTCCCAAATTCAGAACTTACTACAAGCTACATTAATGAAAACAGTGAGGTACTGACATAAAGATAAGACATATAGACCAATGGGATAGAATAGAGAGCCCAGAAATAAACCCTTGCTATACGGACAAATGATTTTTGACAAGGGTGCTCAGATCAATCAATGGGAAAACTGGATATCCACATGCAAAAAAATGAAGTTTGTTTTTTGGTGTTAAGTTGTATGCATTTCTTATATATTTGGATATTAACCCCTTATTGGATGTGTCATTTGTGAATATCTTCTCCCATTCAGTAGGTTGTCTTTTTGTTTTGTTGAAGGTTTCTTTCCCTGTGCAAAACCTTTTTACTTTGATGTACTTGGACCCTCACCTAACACCATATACAAAAAATTAACTCCAAATAGATCAGACTTAGATGTAAGACCTAAAAACATAAAACTCTTAGAAGAAAACGGCAAAAGCTTCATGACACTGAACTTGGCAATAATTTCTTGGATATGACACCAAAGGCACAGGCAACAAAAGAAAAAATAGACAAACTGGACCTCATGAAAATTAAAACCTATTGTGCATCAAAAGACACTGTCAAGAGAGTAAAAAGGCAACCTACAGAATGGGATAAAATATCTGCAAATCACACATCTGATAAAGAATTAATAATATACAGAATTTATAGAGAACTCCTAAAACTCAACAACAAAAAACCCAATTTAAAAATGGAGAAAGGACTTGAATAGACATTTCTCTACAGAAGATATACAAATGACCAATAAGTACGTGAAACAATGGTCACTGTCATGAATCATTAGGGAAATGCAAATCAAAACCACAATGAGATACCACTTCACACTCATTAGGATAGATAATATCACCCAACACACACCCCCCGCCCCCCCAAAAAAGATAAGAAAAAAACAAGTGTTGGTGAAGATGTGAAAAACTGAAACCCTTGGATACTATTGGTGGAAATGTAAAATGGCACAGCCACTGTGGAAAACAGTATGGAGGATCCTCAAAAAATAAAAACTATAATTACCATATGATCCAATAAATCCATTTCCAAGTATACCGTATATCCCCCAAAATAGAAAGTAGGGTCTCAAAGAGATATTTGTACACTCATGTTCATAGCATTACTGACAATAGCCAAAAGGTGAAAGTAAACCAAGTATCCATTGACAGATGAACGAATAAGCAAAATATGGCATAGACATACAATAGCATATTATTTAGCCTTAAAAAGGNAAGTAAAATGAGACAAAGAAGCTCAACAGGATCAGGATGGTACGTGTGGCTCTGGCTTATGGGAAGGTCTGGTGGAAAGTCTGTGCCTGTGTAGGACAAAGGCCATGGAGCCATCAGCCCAGACCAGAAGGCCCAAATATAACATAAATAGTAGAGACGATGACTGTATTTCCTCACTGTCTGGAATATCCCAAAGAACAATATGCATACATTTGTTTTTCATACTTATGTTTCTGCTCTTTAATGAGCCAGACACTCTCATAGGAATGTAAAAATGTGGGCCTGTATCAAGAAATTTGGAATCTAGTCAAGGAAACAGCAGAACTCAGTGCACTTTGGGGAGCTAATTCTCAGTTCTATGGCCTGTTTTTCTTTAAAAAGAATATTGTCTTAAACTAATTGATAGGGTTACATCAGTCTTCTTTCCGTTGTTCCTTGGATTTCCTTAAGTGATGGCATCACATTCATCAATGGTTCTTCTATACCAAATACCCCTTCTTGAATAGTATATTTTGCATCCAATGTAAAGACAGATAAAAGTCCCAGTGTTCATGCAATAACACCAACAAAGTTGCCAATACCAAATTTTGATCCTTTATTTTCTTTAGAATTTATAGTTGCTGTGATTGTTGCTGATGAAGAAACAGATGTCAATGAACTATTGTGGGTTGTGTTCATCACGGATGTTGACTTCTGGGATGTTTTGTGAAACACTTGTTATTTTGGGTATAGACTTTAAGGTGGTGGAAGTCCCATTTGTTGAGACCCCTGGTATTGTCATTTTAAATGTTGCTATGGGTTTCAAGGTGGTGACTGTCACATTTTTTGTGACTGAAGCTGTTGATGATTTTGCTGTAGGTTTTGAGGTGACTGTCACTGAGGAAATGAGTTATAGATGGTTTCACAGTGCTTTTAGAATATTCACTTGTATTGCTGAAAGGCACCATGTGGAGTATTCCCTGTTGGTTTAGTAGTGGGGCTTTTGAGAAGTTTGGGAGGATTTCTGCTTGAAGATCCCACCGAGTTTTCACTGTCCACGGTGGCCTTCAGCAGTGCCCTCACCATGAACTTGGCTAACCACCTTGCATGCCAAGTCCCATTATTCTGAAGGCAGTCCTCGTGGGTCCCCAATCAAGATGGCAGTGGCACAGAGCAGCCCTTCTCTACACCAGAGCCTGCTCTGTGTCCCCTTCTGCCATGCACATCTCCCCTCTTGCCACCTGATTCCCAGTGACAAAATAGGGCATGGGTGCCAAGCCTGAGTGGTGGGGCAGGGCCGCCCTATATCTATTAAATTTGGAAGTAGAGACCTTTGCATAAAGCAAACTACAGTGGTGAATTCTCCCAAACATTCAGGAAATAGACCATACCAATTATACACAAACTATTCCAAAAAATTGAAAAGTAGGAAATGCTTCGCAACTTATTCTGTGATGCTAACATTATACTGATACCAAAACCAGACAAAGGCATTACAAGAAAACCACAGACCAATATCCTTCATTAACATAAATGTAGAACCTCAACAAAATTTTAGCAAACTAAACCCAACAATACATAAAAGGTATAACGTATCAAGAAAAAGTAGTTTATCCCAGAAATGCAAGATTTGATATTTGAAAATTAACATATAGCTCAACATTAAAAGATCAACAAAGGTAAAACATACTAGTAGGGGGGCTCTAAGATGCTCCCTCAAATCCCTACTCCCCCGTATTCTCATCCTTGTGTATCCCTCCCACATTTTACCAGAGTTGATCTATATGAACCATATAATACGGCAAAAGTGAGGGCATATCACTTCCAATTTTAGGTTATAAAAGTCACTGTGGCTTCCCTCTTGGGGGCACTCTCTTACTCTTGGAGCACTTGGTTTGAGAGAATCTTTGTAATGAGCATCTCTGTAGAGAGACCCATGTGGCAAGGAACTGAAGCTCCTGCTAACAGCCATAGGAAAGAGCTTGAAATGCAATCTTCCAGCTGCAGGCAAGTCTTCAGAGACTGCAGTCCCAGTAGACAGCTTGACCAGGGTTTCATGGGGGGTCTTGAACCATAACTGCCTACCTAAGCTGCTCCTAGATTAATGTAATGTAATTTTCTAAAAAATATAAACAAATGTATAGTGACAGAAAGCATATCAGTGGTTTCCTGAAGATTAGCAGGGAGGGAGGGAGAAATTACTAAGGGCACAAGAAAATCTTTCATTTTATAGGTATAAACACGTATCAAATTGCATTTGTTTATGTGTAGTTTATGTGTTTATGGGTAGCTTTTAATTAGGCTGTTTATTTTTAAGTTAATAGATACTCAAAACTCATCAGTTCTTAGTTATTTTACTACATTCTGTTATTATCTATGCTTTACAGGTTATTTACATCTACTGTATCTGATGGTGGAAATAGAATACAATGGTGTGCTACTGCACATCTTTTCCCAACTTCACATTCAGAGACATCATTGTGTAACTTGAAATTGGCTGTGGGGTAAATACTGCAACTTAGAGCTTGATTTGTTGTTTCATTGGCTATGGAGATTTAAGAAAGTAGAGAGTATGTTAACAATTCAGATTAAACTTAAAAGTGTATTGTATCTGCAGTTTCCACTGGGAACAGCAGAAAGTTTTGAGGAAATATTCCTTCAGTATTGAACAAGTATTACCCCATTAATTAAGCAAATTACTGATGTAATTAATGAATGATTGAAGTTTCAAAAAATGTCTTTGCTGTGTCACTGTATTCTTGTTAATGAAAATAGAAATATCAACCAATATTTATTTTAACAATAGATGACTTTAATGCAGATGATAGGTAAGATATGAATAGACATTTCANTCTTCTCTTTACTGATGTAAAAACCAATAACAACCAGTGTAAGAGCAAATCATGCAAAGATTGGAAGGATAGAGTGGAGGGTTTAGAGCACTGTGAATGTGTGCTTGTTCCTATATTGAGGCAGTTCTTATCTGAAGATCAAAGGAGTTAAAGAGACGGCTTTCTTTTATAGTGATGTATTTGTCATCTATTTAATGAGTTTCAGCAGATGAAGATATAGAATCTTAACCATTTTTGAAGTAATTATGAATTGAGTTATCAAAGTTTGTATTTACTCTGCAGTAATGATTTGTGGTACTGATTTACAGGTATTTAAATCTTTTGGTATGAATGACACTGTAAGTTTCTCATGTCAATACCATGTAAAGTCAGGGGCCTGGGGAGGGCGAGATCCCCACACAGACCACTACATGATTAGAAGCATAAAAATTAATGTCAAAATGTATGATTTAAAAAAAATGTAACAGGTGCACCAGGGATAATTTTAGAGCTCTTGACTAGGAAACTTAATTGTTTTAACTTTTTATGTGAAATAATTTAAGACTCACAAGAAGCTGCCAAAACAGTATAGGGTTTCAGTGACCCTTTACCCAGCTGTCCCCCATGATAATATCTCCCATAAGCATAGCACATTGCCATAATCATGTATATATACCATTGTCATGAATCTGATACATTAGCTCAAGAGTCAACTTCATTTGGATTTTGCCACTTTTTCTTGGTGTATGGTTCAATGAGGTTTTATCACATGTATAGATTCCTGTACTGTTACTTTCTTTAAAGCATCTGGTATTCTCCAGAACATGGCTGTGCAATTGATAAGTGGAGCTGACGTTATTTAGCAGGAAAAACAGTTGGCATAATGGAAAGAATGTTGGACTGGCGATCAGGAAACTTGGGCTGTAGCCCTGGCTCTGTTCCTGACTTGCTGTGTGATGCCAGATGGGTTACTTCTCTCTGGGGTTAGCACTGAAAACATTTCCACCGCCATCCAGATCTTTCAGGGGACAATGTGCAGAAATGAATCTGGCCTGAGTTCTGGTTTGTGTATCAGGAGGCTGGTCAATTGTTTCTGATGGGGATGACTTAATAGTGCTGGTCTGTGTCTTTCAACTCTTTCAGAGGCACCACCAAAGTGCTATCAATGGGCACTTATGGTAGCACTAGTGTCTGCTGGACCTGGGTTATAAGCAGGCTCTGCCACTTGGGAGTGCTATACCTTTGGATCTGTTAGTCATTTGGAGACTAAGTTTTCTTTCTGTGGCTGGGGCCGGAACAGTATCTACCTCAGTATAAACTAGCAAACATTTTAAAGCTTATAATTTTGTTGTAGACTCAAAAGANATAAGGCCGTTCACCAGTGTGAACTATCTGATGTTGGATGAGACTGGCAATATGGCTAAAGAATTTCCCACATTCATTGCACTTATAAGGTCTTTCTCCAGTGTGAACTCTCCAATGTTTAATTAGGCTGGAGTTGCAGTTGAAGGATTTCCCACATTCACTGCACTCATGAGCACTTTTACCAGTATGAATCCTCTTATGATGAATGAGGTTGGAGCGTTGGCTAAAAAATTTCCCACATTCATTGCACTCGTAAGGCTTTTCTCCAGTGTGAACTCTCTTATGTTGAATGAGGTTGGAGCTTCGGCTAAAGAATTTCCCACATTCGCTGCATACATGGGGGCTTTCACCAGTGTGAACTCTCTGATGTTTAATGAGACTGGAATGTTGGCTAAAGAATTTCCCACATTCGCAGCACTCATAAGGCTTTCCTCTATTGTGATCTCTCTGGTGTTGAAAAAGGCCAGCGGTGTGGCTAAAGAATATCCCGCATTTACTGCACTCATAAGGCCTTTCTCCAGTGTGGGTTCTCTGGTGCTGAGCAAGTGTAGGTTTGTCACTGACAGTGTTCCCAGATTCACTGTGCATGTTATGGCTTTGCACGGTATGAAAATCTCCCACACTTTTGGTGCCCTGTTGTGGCTCCTCCACACTGTGAGTGACCTGATGTTGCAGAAAGTCAGATCTGGCCACAATGTCCTTCCCACCCTCCCTGAATGTGAAAGGTTTCTCAGATGTGTCATTTCTGCAGCTCTTCACAAGCGAGGCCCTCCCCTCCCCCCTTCTGATAGACTTATCTACATCCTGCTGCATTTTTTGCTGGTGAAGGTCTGCATTGAACTCGAACTCCTTCCCATTTGCCTCATACTTATATGGTTTCTGACTGGGATATGTTGCCTGGTGTTCAGCCAGATGCAAAATGTCTTTCAAGTGTAGGTCACACATGTCACAAGGGTAGTCCTTCTGAGTGGATAAAGCTGCCTTTGGATTCCGGTGCTGTGACACTCCTTCTACAGAAACGCTATGCTCAGAAGGTGATTCCTCACCTTCCACTCCATGGCAAATATCTGAAAATAGAGAAATGCTGGTGAAGTTCATGTTTACTCTGATAGAAAACAGCCCCGTCACAAATGTATGTTGAACCCAGGAGTCCATGAGATTATTGGCCAGATGAGAGGCCTGAAAGCAGGGTAAGGAATGGTCTGCTCTGAAGTACTGTGCCTGGCAAGGTCACAAAACAGGGGAGGCCTCACTAGGACCAAGGGCATAAGAAGGGAGTACAGTATCAGGCAGACAGGCAGGATCTCTAACTCACTTCACTATAAAGGCTTTTTAGCAAGGCCCTGGCTGCAGGTAACCCACGAGCTCTGTGCACAAGGGTATGTCTAGGCTCAGGAAAATCTGATTGCAACTGGGTAGCTGCTGTTCAAGGACTATTAAAGGGAATGTGCATATCTCATGACATATTACGTGTAGGCCCATGTTGGAGAGTGCCGCAGAAGCTGTGGAAAGAGTGAAACACGGAGACCAGAAAGGTGGGGCACAGACAAGGGCCCTGAGTCAGAGTAGAAATGACAAGTGGGCACTGTGTCAAGAATGGGAAAGGAAAGGTAGAAGAGAGATATGGCCACTGGCTTTGGCAACAAAACAATGAGGAACATGAGAAAAGTTGCAAGTATGATGTGAAGACAGTAGTGATGTCACATGATCCCCCAACTCCCACTTACCAGGACCAGGTCCTCTATATGCCCCTCTTGCCATGGCTGAAGTCATGTCCACTCTGTCAGGCACCCAGGGCTCTGCTCCCATCTCCAGCTGGGCAACTACGTGGGACCTGAAAGAGGTAAGTCCTAAGGAAAAGACAGGGCAGGTTAGTGGCTAGCACTTTTCCAGGTGAACTACCCCACCAGAGACCACAGGAAAGAAAACAAAATAATACAAAAAGAACATACAAGGAAGGTCTGGCAGGAACATCCAGTGGTCACAGCAAGTAATAACCAAATCAGTGCCCAGAGTTCCTGGCAGTCAGGCCTTAGGAAATGTTAGCTGGAGGACAGGAGCAGGACAGAATTGTCATAGATCTGGGTGATCAACCATGCGGGGAGTGGCCGAGTCAGGATCCATTGGGCTGACTGTAAGATTCCTCATTCCTGGCCCCTTCCCCACAAGGCTCTGGGGTAGCAGGTATTGGGACTGCTCAGAAATAGGATGGGACCCTGCACAAAGCATAACCCTGGAACCCACAGCACATAAACCAGGCCAGTGAGGAAGGAAGCAGCACCCATGGTCTGACAGTGGGAAGGAAAGCTCTGCCTCTTGGGAAAAGGAGACAGGAAGAGACGAGCTCAGGACCAAGGTGAGCGTGAAGGCCTTACCCAGTGATGCTATCAGCGCAAAGTTCTCCAGCATCACATCACAGTACAGGAGTCTCTGAGCCTCATCAAGGAGTCCCCACTCCTCCTGGGAGAAGTAAATGGTCACGTCCTCAAAGGTCACACAGTCCTGCCATGATGGGGACAATTCATTCCACGGTCAGCTTCTCTCCTCAGGACTCCCTATCTTTTCCCTGCGAACCTTCCTCTCCAGCTCCCCATCTCAGAGGAGATCCCTGGCTCTTTTCTCAGGCCTCACATAACCGCTAGGTCGGCCCACAGCACTGACAGGCAGGTGGCAGAAAGACACCGGCTAAGCTCGGGGCCTCAAGTGCAGGGCCCAATTCCCTCTCCTGTGGGCCCCCTCCCCTAGGGTCACCAATGTCATTGTGCCTCCCAGGTGCAAACGTGGGCTCAGTCTTCTCCCTCAACCTCTAGTACTAGAGCCCCGGGACCAACAGCTCACACTCGCTCCCTAATGCATGTCACTTTTTGAACTGCACCTTCCTCAAACGCTGCACCTCACCACTGCATCCCCATTGTCACTATACCGTCTCCCCATCCCAGCCCACAAAGCATCCAGAGGGTTCTTGGCAAACACAACCATGATCCCATCCTGCCCAAGATCTTTGATGGTTCCCATTGCCAAGGGCAACACCCACTGTTGATTTGGAGGCCTGCCCCTGGCCCCTGTTCCTGGCTTTCGTCTAAGACCCCCAGAACAACACACAGATGTCAGATCGCCATGGTCCTCCTCCTCTTCTCTGTTCCACATTCTGAGCCTTCGTCAGTCACACTCATTCCAAAGCCAACCCCTCTGATCCTCCTAGCCCTACCCCCACTGGGTCTAGTGGCTCTCCCAGCTGGAATATTATTTCCGTTATGACTAAGCCTCAGCACCTCTCTCATCTCCATGCCCTCAGGAAAATCTGGCCACCTGCCAGACCCCCTTTTCCCTACACAGCCCCACCAGCACCACAGCCACCACGACTCTTCCTCATCTGTCTATATGATGCTGAACAAGCCAACCGTGGCTCCCAAACAAGATACCCGGTTCTCAGGTCTCAGGTCTCACCCTCCTCTTTCCTCCTAATGTCATTGCCATCAAGGACCTGAAGGGTCACCCTTCTAAACCGGACACAGAGCTACACACCAGATGCCACATTTTGGATGTTTCTGTGGAAGTAAATGAAGACCAACAAAATGAGAAAAGCAAAGGCTATTTATTCCGAACTTGCTATAGCAAAGGTCACTGTTGCGTTATGTTTTGGCAAAAAGAAAGCAGAGGAATAGGGAAGCTTTAGAATGGACAAAAACAGGGCTTCAGGAGGGCCCTGTTGGCATGGGGGAGCTGTAGGCAGGCTAACTAGAAGCAGGGTATCCTATGTGATTGGTTAGGGTGCATGTTTGACTTTCTCTGGTAGGTCCTAAGTTGGAAGAGGGAACAAAAATTAGAGAGGCTGTCAGTTATTAATCAAGCCCTGGCCACTTGGGGCCAGCTGTTGCAGAGGTTATTGTTTATTTTCCTGGATTGTCACTACAGATAAAATCTGACTTCCTGCAAGTCTGACTTACAGCAGGCTGGCTTCCTGGGCTGTTTATTGTAGATAAAGAGGTTGGTTTGCTGTAGGCTGTGGGCCAAAGTTATATTTTTATATATGGTGTGGCCATTGTCCCTTTGTGTATTCAGTCTCTTATTACTTCAACTACAGCTCCCCAGAACACCATAACTGTGTATCTAGCTGCCCACTCTTCACCTTCACTCAGGGGTCTCTGGCACATCAGAGCGCAACATGGCTAAAACCTAACTTCTGTTTGCCACTGAAAATTCCTTCTACAGCCAACTTCCCCCATCTCGGTCGATGGCTTATCCATCCTTCCATCTGCTAAAAGTAAAAACCATGGAGTCATCCCTTCTCTTTCTCACCCTCCCCCCACACACACACACACATCAAAAAATCTGGAAAGCCGGACTTAAAAGACAAACCCAGAATCGAATCGCTTCTACCTGCAGCCATCTGCACTACTCACCCGGACAACTGCAGTCGCCTCACCCCAGTCAGTTTTCCACTCTGCATCCACAGGGATAAGACCCGTGTCAGACCACCTTCCCCCTCTGCTCTGAATCTCCTGCGGCTCCCAACACCCTCAGAACAGAGGCCCAGCTCCTCAGCCCACCATTCCAGAGCCGACTTGGGCTCCTCTGCTCTCTGTACGCTCCCAACTCGGTTCTCACCACCAGGCGTCTGCACATGCTGGTCCCTGTGCCTACCTCATCCCGCTATATTTCAGAAACGGGAACCGCTCTAGACAGTCCTAGGTCTGGATTCAGTACCCTAGGTTTGGAGTGACTCCCCGCCAGGCCCCAGACTCAAAGGCAGAGCGATGAGAAAGGTGGGAAGCCGTGGACCACGCCCACCTGGTCTATCCCGGCGCCGGGCGCCTGCGGGTGTGGGGGGGTCTGAGCGGCTCAGGGCCTGAAGCCGGGAGGGATCCTCACCTGTGCCGGGTCCCTCAGCGTCGCCGCCATCGAGGTGGGTGGCCGAAGCCGGTGTCGCGGGCTCAGTCTACCTGCCGCCTTGCCTTGCCCGGGGCGAGGTGTGACCCGGACTGGGGTCACACTTGCTAACCTCTGTCTCCCGGTGGAGAAGGCTCGCGGGGCTCAGGGCTCCCCTTCGTGACGCGGACCCCTCGTCACGGCTGTCACGGCTCATTCGAAGGCGCGGAGGAGGGTCCTGGCCTCGGGG